AATTTCTGATTACACAATGATTGGGTTTTAATAGTGTCTGACCTTCTCTTTTCACCAAAAAGTGTAGGCCAGGGTAGGGAGCATTTCAACATTCACTGGACATATTTTTTATCATGTCAGTGGGATGTTCCAAGATGGATTTAAGGGGGATGTGTGCTTAAAGCAGAATGAAAAGTGAACAAGAAAATAAATGTGCAAGTGGCTGCTGGTGGTAAGAGACTGTCAAATGCTGATCAGGGACAACTGAAGAGCCAAACAACGTGACTACTTTTTTTTCTCTTTTGTGAGATAGGTGTCTCTTTCAAGGTAAAACCCAGCAATTAGGAGCCATATAGAGCTGTATGATTACTTATCATTTAGTCCCCAGAGCCAGATCCAAAGAGCCAGCGACTCTGTCCAGATTCAGAAAAGCATTTTATAAGGTGTTAAATGAGCATTTAGTTTAGCAGCAGCTCTGGTGCTTAGTAACTCTAGGGAGCATGCCACTGATTCCAATGCACATTAAACAGTGAGATTGCCCTATACATGTAGAAGTAGGACATTTTATGGAGCAAAATCATCACTTGTAATTCTGAACTGGCCCCAGTTTTTGAGACTTTCTCTGATAATTTCATTTTAGATCACAATCATGGTGAAATCTATTGATTCTTCCTCTTGAAATATACAAGTGGGCTGAAATTGACATATGCTTTTAAATAATCTGTACTAAATTCTTGTCTCCATAGTTCTAGTTTAAACACAAAGTGAACAAAGAAGTCTAGATTAGAGATGTTAAATTTATATTAACATCTAATTTAACACATTTAGATTAATAGGCTAATTGAACTATTTGATTAGTCTATAAGGGAGCCTCGCTTCTGAAGTATAGCAACAGCTCCAGGGCTGTTGCTACATTTCAAAGGCAAAAGCGATGCGGGGAGCACTGGCCAGAGGGGGACTGATTGAGTCCCCCGCTGGCCCTTTGCTTCCCACAGCGTTTCAAAGTGGTAGCACCGCATGGAGCTGAGGACTCCCCTGCTGATCCCAGCTCTACACGACATTGCCACTTTGAAAGGTGGCACGGAGCTGAGGGCCAGCTGGGTCTACCAGCAGCTCCACCCAGCACTGCTGCTCTGAATCCTCTCCTCCACCTTCACCCCCCCTTGCTGCCTCTTTCTGATAGACTAGTATTTCACATCCCTCATCTACATAGCATTTAACCTCCCACAAAAAATCTGTAGTCCATAATGTATAAAAAGTCAAACTTGTAAGTTCATATCTATTAAATTCACCTAGTCAGGACTAATGTCTACTTTATTTAATGAATTCATAGTTCTCCAGTATGATCAAAAGTTCTTAATTTCCTGTAGAACAATGATGATGCGTGAAAGGCTTTTACATGTTTTTTTTCTTTTGTTACAAGAATATGTAATAGGAAACTCTGATAAGTGACAGCCCCCTTCTGGGCATTTAGGCACTGCAGTTTTTTCAAAACCAAGCCAGTTCATTCCAGTGCAAATGAACTGAAAACATGAATAGAGAAATAGAACAGTGAACCTTCTGAAAAATAAGCAACTGTATTCTCTGAAAAATATTAGGAGGTCTATTTGTCAAATAATATGTGGCTATTGGAGTACTGCACAGACTGTTGAGGAGAAAGTCATGATTCATGAACTAAACTGGCAAGCTACAAGTGAAGATAATTTGGTTGTATGTAAGAGCCCATAATTTCTAAGGAATCCTATTACATTGAATGAGACTTTTCCATATTGGCATAGTCCTATGCAAAATGGGGATAGTTAGAAATCCTATAGTAAGGATATTGTCACTAAATTGTATAATTTTCTAAATTATTTCTGTAGTTATAAAAATATGTAACTTTTTTTAAACCATTCCTGCAATAGTAGGTTTCTACCTCCTTATAAACATGTGAGAGATACTCAGAATATATATTGTGATAACAAGTGTTTATCTGCACCAGAGTGTGATGATTAACTCACTTGTGGCTTTCCAGTCATGGGTAATGCAACCATGTCACACTCATTCTGATTATATCTTTATAGCAGATCACACTCATGTATTCCATTTCTCTCTTGGTAGACTTATGTATCTGTGGATGAACTAAATTGGAGAGAACTTCAAATATTTTGTTTTTATTGGTTTGTGTCAGGCTTTAAATGACATGACATAAATGCTGATTTTTACGGTTATTTATCTGTACTTAGATGTTAGTGGAAGGTGCTTTGTCAGTGCTTCCCAATTAAATTTGTATTACCTTTGTATTTTTTCAAGCAAACTCTGGATGGAAATTAACAGGAAACTGGACACCAATATTGTATAATAGATTTCTGCAGTGTAATGTACAATACTGGGTTGTGTGTGTGCTTAGGGTTTTTAGCTTTTTGGGTTTTTTTCAGGATCAGGAGCTAACTGTTTATCCTAATGATGTCCTTCAAAAAGCTTTTGAGTTCATTGCTGTCAGTTGGTTTGGTAACGACTTGTAGGACTCTTCTGTCACACAATGAATACAGTTCAGGAAGAGAGTACTTTTTACATTATTATGATTTAAATATATCACTTGAGTGGGGTTCTTATAGAAATTCTCAGGTTAATGTTGTCAGTGGACAAGCTAATAGATCAATAAGTGGGACATCCTTTTAAAGCAGAATATTTGATAGGAATGCTATGGAGACTTGGCAGGGTTGAAAGCCTGATCCCATGAGAGTCCCTTGCCACACTTGCTAATGTCTTCACTAGGGCTAGGATTTTACCCCTGGCGAATGTGAACTGGCTCCTACCCCTCCCAGAGCTGACATCAGTGGAGGAGTCCTTTTCCCTTCTTCCTTCGCTTTTGGTGTGGTTCCTTGAGATCCAGCTTTTTGGGGGTTGTTGGTCAAAGCAGTTTCTCTCTCCCCCCCCCCCCCCCATCCCACATTGTAATATGTCTGGGTCTATGGGGGTTGACAGTGGAAACTCTGGATTTAAATTTCTATTAGAAGAGGGAGACTATTTTTCACCACCTCACAATTTTCAATCCTAAGAAGTGATTTTAAAAACAAAATTGCCCTACCCCCATGCACAGTCTCCTGCAAATAACCAGTCCAGTGTGCATCAAATGGTTCCAAAGCCCCTCCTGCAGACAGGCCCTGAAAACACCAAAAATGTTCGCCTGAATTGGGCATCTCCTGTATGCTCTGAGATATGGTCCTAAGGACCTGAACAAAATTCCAGAGCATGATGTGTATGAGGCCATTGGTTCATGACTGACCTGCTAGAAATCTTCAAACTAAGAAAGCACCCCAACAATCTGTGTGACTGTGTGTAATATATTTATGAGTAATGAGTGAATCGAGATTATTGAGGATGCCAGATGATCACAGAATGCACTCCTCCAGTGATGTGCCATACTTGCAACTGGCTTTCCCAATCCTGGAAATCCATGAAATCCATTCAGACTTCTCTCATAACTTTGCCATGTGTGTGGAGCCACTGCTCTGTGATACACTAGCCGCCATGACATGCCAAGGTTCCACAGAGTTAGCTGCTCTGCCTGATCCTGGGAATAGGGGCTTTTCCTGCCGGACTTGCCCCTTTTCAGCTCTTCAGCCCCTCCAGTGTCTGGAAATGAGTTGGTATCATCACTCTGCCTTGCTTCCCCTTTCTGAAGCAATTTCCTTCCCCCTCCTCCCAGCATATGTAAATGTGCAGACAATATTGTGTTTAGGAAACCATTCTTAATAAAAATCTGCTTTGCTGTCAGATTTTTTTAACAGTAACTGTAAGTTTTTGTTTAAAATATTAATTTTGTATGAGGTTATGTGACAACTTCTGTGGAAATTTGTCTCACTAATAGTTCTGGGTATCTTCTGATTTTAACTTTAAGAACTGACACATACTCCTCCTTCACCACTTCCACTATTTGATCTGAGGAAGTGGGTCTGGCCCACGAAAGCTCATCATCTAATAAACCATCTTGTTAGTCTTTAAAGTGCTACATTGTCCTGCATTTTGCTTCAACTACCCCAGACTAACACGGCTACATTTCTATCACTATCCTCCTTCACCAAGCCTTCAACATAAACTGATCCAATCAGTTTGCTTTGTAGGTTCAGGGCCATATAGTAATGTTTTTATATGATGATTTAATTATTTTTGTCATCCGATAAAACTTGATACTGAAGATCAATTTAATTATGCTGATTTTGTTTCAAAGAATGGTTTGACTTTTACATGTAAGTAATTAGTAATAAAAACTTAGTTTTCTTGGAGATGTTTTTCATTTAAATACACATAGAAGGTACATAGTGACATTGTTTGTACTGGTTACATTGTTTTTCAGTGGAATGTTTGTTGTCACTCTCTTGTCTTGTATAATATTGTAATTATGTCTCAAGTTCAATATACTTTTTATTTTGATAATGATAAACTTAGAAAATTGGTAAGACATAGGTTAAAATGTGCAGTATGTACAAATACCTGTAATCAGATGTTATATAAAGCATATTCTAAGATTTTACAATATTGACACAGATACATTGGGATAATGTATGTTTACAGTCTGCTCAGTCTGGGCTTAGTTTATTTTTGGCTAGCATTTGTGTAACAGTCAACAATGAATTTCAAAAGGTTAGAAGTTTGGATTCAATTTTCATAAGCATCAGATAATTTGGTTGCTTATACAAATCTTGTCTAACCCTCTTGTATCTGTAAAATTTCACTGGGACGATGATACTGACACCCACAATCATAGATATAATTATCATGAGATACACAATTCATCACTATTGTATGTAGTCTCTGCCAGAAATTAGAAGAGGGTGGAAAATCCTAAACATTTTTCAGGGCTTGATTTCAAGTTCAGATCCAGATATGGGTAAAAATCTCAGGCCGGAGTGCTGAGCCAACTCTTTATTTTTCTCTAAATCACTCCATGTTGATAGATGACGAAAGTCTTCTATTAGTGAAGAATGAAACCAACACACAAATATTAAAATTGTGTATTTTGTTAACTTGTGTTACAGCTGTTATTTCAAGGAACCAAGAAGGACCTGGAGAGATGGGAAAGGCTGTGCTCATTCCCAAAGATGACCAGGAGAAAATGAAGGAGCTGTTTAAAATCAACCAGTTTAACCTTATGGCCAGTGACCTGATTGCACTTAACAGAAGTTTGCCAGATGTAAGATTAGAAGGGTGAGTTTGCAATGCACTGTGTAATTCTCAACACAAATGGCTCAATCACATTATGGGCCATGTTTTTTTACCAATATTTATTTGTTCAGGATTCTTAATTGATTTCAGGGTATAATAGGGCTCAATATTTGATAGTTTAATACTTTGAGTCTGTGTGTAGACTGGCAAGTTTTTCCGCAAAAGCAAGTGCTTTTGCGGAAAAACTTGCCACCTGTCTACACTGGCCGCTTGAATTTCTGCAAGAACACTGATGATCTCCTGTAAGAAATCAGTGCTTCTTGCAGAAATACTATGCTGCTCCCGTTCGGGCAAAAGTCCTTTTGTGCAAAAGCTTTTGCGCAAAAGGGCCAGTGTAGGCAGCTCAGATTTGTTTTGTGCAAAAAAGCTCTGATTGTGAAAATGGCGATCGGGGCTTTTTTGCGCAAAAGCGCGTCTAGATTGGCACGGAAGCTTTTCTGCAAAAAGTGCTTTTGCAGAAAAGCGTCCATGCCAATCTAGATGCTCTTTTCCGCAAATGCTTTTAACGGAAAACTTTTCCGTTAAAAGCATTTGCGGAAAATCATGCCAGTCTAGACATAGCCTGATTGTTTTCAGTGTTTGGTTGAAGCTGCTTGAAAGTGTTATGATTGATATTCTATAGGCTTATGAAATGCCTGTCAATGCCAATAGAAGAGTGTGTGGGGTGTGTATACTGAGAATTAGACTCGATCAAATTTTCTATAGTTACCTTTTTATTTGTATTTTTTAAAATTATCAGTGGACAATTGTGACCTATATAAGCTCTAGTACCAGCGATAGTACCTGTAGGGGAAAACCAATCCCTCTAATAATTCTGTTTGAAACACGTTGGGTGAAATATATATATATATATATATATA